GAGGGGCAGGGTGGGAGCGTTATTCCTGAAGGTGGGAATACCTGGGAGCAGCTGGGGCTTTTTTCTGTGGCACATTAATCAGAAAATATGTTGATGGACATCTTCGATTCTTCCTTTTTTTTCCCAGAACCTCTCTATGAAGTTGTTTTGTGAGTACAATTTTTCACCTGGGACAATTTTTCACTAAGAAGACTTTGAGGGCATCATAGAATCACACTGATGTCTATTTCCAGAAAGCCTCTTTGCTCAGTGAAAAGCCAAGGATCTCCTTGACTTGCCGGGGGAGGATCTGAATACCTTGACAGTCCATTTAGTTAGCAGCATGAGGACATTAACATTTTAGTGCAGGAGGTAGCAAGAGAGAGTGTTCTTCAATATGTTAGCATGAGAGAAAGACTTTCTGGGTCCTTCGCTCTGCCTTGCAGATGCCATGGGAAAACTGTTCTTTCTAGTAAATTCCCACGATTATTTCACAAAGCAAAAGACAGGAATTCTCAGCTCTTCCCTCGAGATAAGTTCCTTCTATACATGCCTTTCTCTTTAAGAAACATGTCCCAGTGCTTATCCAAGTATTATTTTGTGCAATTCCTATTTGCTTACAATTATACAAACATATCTTCTGCCCTGTCCTAATCTCAACCTTTTAATCCCTTCATACTACTTTCCTATTCAGAGACATACCTTAGCCATCTGTAGACTCACACATTGCCATTTTTTGCAATTATTACTGGTAGTTACTTTCTAAAGGCTAGAGTATCTGCTGGTAACTCTTTTGAGTGTAATATGATAATGCCATGAGAGTTTAATGGTACCAATGTTAACTGTTTATTGCTTCTTTTTGTGTGTGTAATTCTTCTAATGTTACTTTCTAGTGTCTAGCCTCCCAGGCCCTCACTAGATGAATATAAATTTTGCTGTTCCACCGATTATGTGATAGATCTTGTGTTTGACTAAGATGTAAATCAAATTACTTCTGAGTTAGTTGTCCTTCTCAATAATGTCTCTCTCTTGTTTCAGCCATAGCACTGCAGATGTCACAAGATTGGAGACTGATGTGGAAGTGCCTGTTAAGTGCCTACACAAGGAGACAAATTCTAAGACTGAAACATCCAATGACACTTTCGCCATGAAAGACAACGGCCATGACAGCATATGCATCAGGAAAAATCCTGAGTATGAAAACCTTGTGAATGCAATGGAATCAGAATATGAAATAGAAAAAATTTAGTAGGGTACCAGCTTTTCCACATGAGCAGCCGTGCAGGGCTGCAGATATTGAGTGGTAAACTTTACCAAAGGAAATTCTTCTTCCTGTCTGCCTTCTGCTCTGATAAATATACCAGTCTCACTGCTTGCTTTAACCCAGGGGAACTGCATAACCTTCTTGGGCTTTCGCAAATGAGGCCCTGCCCGTTGGTGCAGAAACTCTCGGCCAAGTGGTTATCTACCTACTTTTATAGAGTGAATACTTTCTGAGCAGCCTGAAGGACCAAGGTGAGGAAGAGAGGATCTGAAGGAGTGGAAACACAAATGTCTTTAGCCAGCAAATCAAGGTGTAGCTGGGTGCAATGTTGCTAGGCAATAACACTGCCGAGGTGTACTCTCAAGTGCATGTTCCCCTATTAGGGCATCCCAGACTGCGAGGAGCCAGGGATTGTGCTGGAAATGGACGTCCTCTGGCTTTTACAGCTCAACAAATACTGGTTGTACATCCTGCTTGTCCTTGAGTCTTTTTTGTTAGAGCATGGTAAAGGGACCACAGAGTGGGGGTTGATGTTGCAGGAGTGTCTTTTTTGCTATCAGAGTGGAGCTCGTTGATAGAGGAAGAGGGAATGTCCCTGTAGGTGATGAGCCTCCTAACTGCCACCTTCTGGTTTTCTCCCGGAAAAGCAGAATTGGTGTTGAAGGAAATGCTAGCATTTTATTTTTACGGCCAGAGGCATAATAAAATAGAGAGAAATTTGAGGCATTTGGATTAATGATTGAGCAAGGGACCTCCCTGGATGCAACAGACTGACACTGATTCACTCTGTGGGACAGGAGTCAATCTGTCTGATTACAACAGAGGTATTAATGCTGACCTGTGTTATGGGGATGCTGTGAGTGCTCATGTTTGTAAAATGCCTTGAAAAGTGCTTGATTAGTGCAATGCATTTTCTTTCTCAGGGCAAATACAAAAGTCTTCAAAGGATTTTGTTGCATATGAATTCCAACTTCCTTGGTATTTCACCATCCAGCACCATCATTTTTCTGTTGCCTGCAAATTTATGCTTTTTCTCGGTCTTCTGACTTAATTCTGCAGAACAGGCAGGGGTACAGTCATGGCCAGGGTTTGACTTGGAAGTTTGACTTGGTTTCCCTTTTAAAGAGGAGAGGACAGGAGGGGGGCATCAAGTCAGCCCACACCAGACTCCTCGCGTGACTACACCTCACCACAGCCCCCAAAGCTGTTTGTCGGGGTCTTGGTGCTGCCTCCACATGCAAAGTCACAAACCTGCAGCCGCCTACCACTGCAGTGAGAGCCCAGTAAGTCACAGTGCTCCAGTGATGACATCAGGCTGAGGCCTGGAGTCAGTGGAGAAACTGTCATTTCAGTGAGCTGGTAGAAGCATCAGTGCTTGAGCTGGGCACATTTAAGGCCAAAGGAAGGTTTGCCATTAGCACCTTTCTTCCAGATGCTTCAGCTAGTTCTTTTTTTTTTAGGAATTTATCACTCACAGCAGGGTGTAAAGTGTTATGCTACTACATCGCTGTCAGAGGTTAGAAGGACTCTGAGAATGCTTAATACCAAGTCTTCCTTCACTGCCAGTGGAAGGCTAAAGTATGCTGAAGAGCCTGAGAAGAGAGGTCATCTAAACGATATCACAAACTTGCCTGTGATTTAGCTCAGGAGTTAAAATCCTTGACTTTCATTTCATGCCATTGCTCAACACATTGGTTTGCTCTAAAAAGCAGTTATTTAAAAAAAATGTTCTGCACCTCCCTATATTTTGGCTCTTGGTGACTCAAATCGAATATTCTCTTCCAAGTGGAAAATAGCTCAGTGGCCAACCTGGGCCATGGCTGAGCGTGCCATGGTTGCAGCCTCGCAGGAAGGTGGCAGCTGTGTTGGCTCTGCAGGGATGACGGGAGCACATGAAGCCTTACGAACGCACTGCTACCCCAGTGAATTGATGCCCCAACCATTGAAACTGGTCCTAGGGAGCCATGGTGAGGAAAGGCAGCTCTGCATGCTGAAAAAACACTTCATATCCACTTTTTGAGCACAGAGAAGCTAGGAGAATAAGACACAGAGCAAGGCAGAAGACATCAACAGTGAGACAGGAATTCACTCACCCCTGAGAGAACATTTCCTATGCACATCTTCCATGCCAGGGCCAGGCCAGGAGAGCTTGCTGCAAAGCACCGTGTCTGTGGCTTTGGAAATGCAGTGAATGCACAAGCACTGCTGGGAGGAGGGCAGAGCAGGTCCCACACCACCACCCCAGAGGCCTTTGGGGAAGGGCCACGGCCAACCTGGCCCAGCTCTGGGCCAGCAGAAGGCTATACAGAGTCCACATGCAAGCCCTGGCATTTCTGGAGGGTGAAAGGGGTGGGAAGCCAGGCTGCTCTGCGGGAAACACAGAGCTGTTGTAATGCTGCTCTTGGGTGTGCATTCACTGTACTGCTGCTGCTGGCTTCTCCCTGGACCTCGTCTGAAGGACCACGGCTCCTGCCTGAGGCCGGGAGGGCAGGAGAGGAGGCTATCAGCTGCCGCAGGAGGAAGCGGCTGGGACCTGAGCAGCCTTACAGAACGGGGAGAGGAGGAGGCTAATCCTCCAGGAGCAGTGGGGGGGTGCTTTGCGGACATGAGGGGTGAGAGACGGGGTCCTGCTCCGTTAGTAGCACTGGAGCTCCTGTGGGGAATGAATACCCTTGCTCAGCACATCAGGGCTCAGAGAAAGACTGGCTCTCAGGGAGGATGTGTGAAGCTGAGGGAGCCCTCTGTAAGGCAGGAGAAGTAAGGAGGCGCTGAAGATTTGTGCTTGCAGGCTTTGGAGCTGTTTGGCCAGTGTGTCTTCTAGATCAGCCGTACTTCTGCTGCTGACTGCTCTAAAATCACAAGATCAGCTTAAAAATAAGAAGCCCACATGCCCTACATTAGGTTTAAGACTCTTCTTGGAATGTGCGTTTTGGCTTCTCCTTTTTGCCAGGTGGTTCCTGAGCTACAAGGCTATACTTTGCATTTCCAAGGTCTTCCTCTCAAGCAGGAGGGCCAAACTGTATGGTCTGTAATGCAAAACCCATCACTTTCATTAACCCTGGATTTTGTGCAGTCCTAATGAGGAGCCCCCAGAGTGTAAGCCCCGTGCTAATAGGGTGCAGGCTTTGCTGTGGGGTGTGCAGTCTGTCATTGCTGCTTAAACCTACTCCAGAGCATTCCTGGATCTCTGGCAAAAGTAAATAAAACAGAAGAAAAGTTTCTTTTTACAAAAGCAGCAAGGTTGCGTGCTTAGCTGTGCCTGCCTTCAGCTGAAGTGCATTTCCTGCAATACACTCTGTTACTCAACAGCCTGGTTTGCTTCCTCATTGTTAATCAATCATTTGCATCTTACATGCACTGGGATGCTGCTGCGGTACTCTGCCCTCCCTGTCTGTCGGAGACCTCTAGGCAGCATCTCTCTGTCCTACAGGCTTGGCAAGCAGACCAGGGGCAGGGAGGGGGGGGATGCCACCTGGCTTTAGCAAAGCAAATTTGTAGGGAGAGTCATTAGCTTTTATTAAATCAGTCAGTGCAGGGGGGGGGAGCATGGGGAAGCAGATGAGCTCTGGGTCATGCAAGCCCTCCTTCTTGGCAATGACTTGGACCCGCATGGCTTTTGTCTCTGCTGCCATGAATCTTCCCTTCCCAGGTCAGCAGCCTAATAGCAGGTTCACCTGGCTTTTTATGGCCTGATTGCTGGGAAGAAGAGCTTCACTTTTACCTTTAGTGCTCTGAATTACAACGACAATTCTTCAGGACATTAGGTGATTATCAGGCAAGATCAGAGAGAAAAGTCTCCTGCCCGTATTATGAAGGTTTCATAAACACAGCAATGGACACGCACGGACGGTTGTGCTGCAGTGTCAGGCTGCTGCGCTTCGCAGGGGAGGCAGGCAGCAGCAGGCAGGGCCTGCCTGTCCTTTCAAGGGCTATGGCAGTGCCAGGCCCCACTCCAAGCACTGGTCTCAGCTCTCAGACCTGGCCAGCTCCCCCCTCCCAGCTGGAGAGGAGGGAAGCTGTGCCTGACTAAGGGCAAGAAGCACGGGGACCATTAGAAATGTGTGTGAGGGTCTCTCGTGCTTTGCACCTGGGGTGAGGTAATTCACCCCGCACAGCAGTGTGTTTGCTGTAGCTAGCATGTACACTCCCAGAAGCTGGCCTTGGAGACACCAGGCTGGAGCATCAGCTGCTGGTGTCAGCGGCCTCAGAGGTGGTGCAGGACAAAAGAAATGAGGGGAATGGGGAGCTGCGACCGTGCAGGGCAGAAGTGTGTGGTGCGAGGTCGATGCTGTGTGGGAAGGGAACTGAAAACTTCTCAGCTTCCCCATCCTCACCTCAGCAGATCCAGGCCTGAAACACAGCGCATGGCGCTCTCTTTTACCCAAGTGCCATCCTCGTTAATTTTCAGCTAGCCTAGTGTTTTACACAAGACTTGTTGCCATTATAAGCTCCCAGCTCCAAGTTCCATCACTGACTATGTAACACCATGATTTTTTCCAACTTTTGATTCTTCCCAGTGCTGATCTGCTCTGAGGAGGTCCAGGCAACTTCCTCAGAAGACCTGAAGCCTGGGAGAAGCTGCAGAGGAAGAAGGCAACAGGAGTTAAGACAGGGTTATCAGATGCTCCAGCTGGAGCAGACGCTATGTACCTCATGTTGGCACTGCCTCTAGTTTGGGCAGCAAAATGGCTTTGGTGGTAAGCAGCAGAACAGTGGAAACACAAAAAGCCTCTCTCCAGTGCCGAGGTTGTTGGTTCTCCCTATGCAGCAAGTGTGTGATTATTTTTTTTATTTAAATTTTTGGCATGTTTGGTAGTAAAACCTGTTGAAAACAGAACATTTTTCTTCTGACAGTCACGGAGGGCTTTGCTGTGTTGTATCACTGTCAAACAAAAGAACTTCTCCTTTCCTTGCGCTGGTCACTCACCCAGTGACATGATTCATCTGTTGAGCGCCAGCTCTGCCCCAGCACAGAAGGGAAACCTCAGCTTCCGCTCTGAAACTACACTGCCTCCAAAAAAACGCACTATTTCTAGTGGCCAGCACAATGTCATGAGACTTGCAGCTCCCTTGCTTCAGAGCAACTGAAGTGCACATACAACGGAGGGGAT